ATTTCTGTTGGAGGTATGTCAGTTAAGTAATTTTGTGTATACTTGTGGTACTGTAGGTTTATGTCTTGTGCTAATGAAGTCTGTTTGGCCGCAGCGTTCACTTGTCCTTTGTGTTTGTGATAACGTGAAGTTGACTGGTTCTACTTGTCATTTGTGTTTGTGATATTGTGAAGTTGACTGGTTCTACTTGTCATTTGTGTTTGTGATATTGTGAAGTTGACTGGTTCTACTTGTTGTTTGTGTTTGTGACAATGTGAAGTTGACTGGTTCTACTTGTCATTTGTGTTTGTGATAATGTGAAGTTGACTGGTTCTACTTGTCATTTGTGTTTGTAATATTGTGAAGCTGAGTGTCTCTAGTTGTTGTTTGGTTTGATATTTTTCCCGATCTCACTACGAATGTCAAAAACGGCAACTATATTTGGCCTGAGACTAGCTATACTACCATCTATAAAAATTGCAACTACAAAAAAAAAAGTCTGTTAAAGTTGCCAGGGTCTATGGTTTAGGCGTTTCAAATGTCATTTGTAGTTCTGAGATACCAGGTTCAGTCCCAGCTGCATATGATTTGGCAGCAGACGACCTTGCCTTGTTCTCGACAGGGGTATCAAGATCTGGCACTTTGACCCACTCCTCTACTCACCTAATATTCTCAAGGATGCAAACCTGTCTGATTGTGTCTTCTGTCTGAGCTCTCCATGACTTCCCTCTTATCAGCCGCTGACCCTTAACTGCACCCAGAATAAAGAGATTCCATTAAGTGCACCAGATGTTTTCGAAATCCCATGCCTCTCATTATGTGCGACAGTTTATGGTGTTGCACACAGTCAAATGCCTTGCTGTAGTCTTTGAAACAGGTATGAAGATCTATCTCTAGGATGATTCTCATATTCAAAATATGGTCTCTTGTTCCTCTGCCACGTCTAAAACCTGCTTGTGTTTTTTGTAGTTCATATATCTATTTATTCTCAGTCCTCCTCAGAATGATATACAGAAGGATTTTGCTGGTGTGACTAATTAGAGCTATAGTACAATCATTGTTACATAATTTGAGATTTCCTTTGTTTTTTGTGTGGAAGGGAAACATAGACTTATGTTTTCCACGCTTTGGGCCAGTCAGCACTGTTCCAGATTTTCACACATAATACATGGTATAGAATGATGCTGGCTTCTCCTCCAGCCTGAGTGTACTCTATCGGGATGTCGTCACATCCCAGAGATATACCAGATTTCAGGTTCTTTATTTCTATTCTTACTTTTTCTAATAGAGGTTCAAGCTCTTTCTCTTCGATTTCTTCTGCCCTATCTGACATGTTCGTAGCAATACTGTTCATTATTATCAGTTGTCTTCTTCCAGGTAAAAGACAGACCTTGGCCTTTGGATATGCCCATATTGTTTTCTGAATATTTCCTAGTGTTGTGTAGTCTCCAGAATAATGTGAGATGATTTTTGACTGTCACGTAATATCTGTCGCCAAAAATCTCACTTTAACTCGCGATAGTGTTCAATAATACTTATAATTGTGTGTTGTTGGATTTAACAAAAAAACTGCTCTCTACATTTCTTGTTGTTTCTGTCTCTAGTTAGCTGTCAGGTGGACCACGGAAACAATTTACCCTGTTTGTTGGGCTGCGGGTATAAACAGGTTGAAGAACACTGGTTTAGAGGGCTTGGAAATTACGTCATGTGACGATGGTCTGTGTGAATATGACGTGTGCGAATGTTCGCTTGATACAACGCACACTTGCCAAGTATCCATGGTATGTTAAATAGTGTTACAGTAACAAGTCACCATTCCCGCCCAACAGCAATAAGGACGCCGGATACATGTTGAACGTCAAACAGAATTAATGTATTTCTAATTTCAACACCAAAACAATGAAAGGCATCACGAGAATAAAACGTTACACCGCCACAGTCATTCCTACTGGCAAGGCAACACACACTACGGACGCTCTGGGCTACTTCTACTGCCACCCTGTTCCGTGGTCAACTACGAGCAAACATTACCTGCTCGTGCAAACTCACTGCTCGTGGTTATGTGTCTACCTCTATGACACCCATCCCTTGGGTACACTGTCATAGCAGAATCATACAGGCCGATGCACAGTACATTGTGAAACTTGTCCAGACCTTTCGTCTGCGGCCACACGAGCGTCTGTCACGCTGGCGCGACCGCTGTAACAACACTCACAGACAGCCCGTACCCTACCGCCAGCGTAACACAGTTATGCAGGACCAGCCTGGATCCATCCAGATTAGAACAGGCTTCCTACACAGCGTAGTAGAGTCCACCGTTACTCACTCTCTCTCTCTCTCTCTACATCACGTTCAATGTGTGCGCACCGCACCAAGTCCCACGTTCAACAATGAACTTCCCTTCCCATATATTGCACACAACAGCTTATTCCCCCCTTCCTCCAGCAAACAGACACCATTTGTTTCTGTTTGCTCGAGACAGGACCGCCGTGCTCAACACATGGCAATATGCAGTTCATAATTTACATAACATGCACAATATGAATAATATATTTCACACATAATCTTAAGCATGTTAGGTACATTACTATGCCTCAAAATAACAAGACCAGAAAAACCTAGTCACACAGTTGTCCTTGATAGGAAATCTGGGATCACGTTTTCCTCCCCTCGGACATAGTGGACAGTGAAGTGGTATGGCTGCAGCATCAGCGCCCATCTAAGCACCCTGGCATTCTTCACTGCTCCCGAACACAATGCCTGCAGTGGTTGATGGTCAGTGAAGATAGTAAAATGGTTACCGTACAAAAACCTGGAGAACTTGTTGACCCCAAACACTATGGCCAGGCACTCTCGTTCTATCACACTGTAGCGTGTCTCCGCTGGGGACAGTTTCCTACTGGCATACAGGACTGGATGCCATGTACCTCGGAACTCCTGTACGAGGACACTGGCCACTCCCACATCAGAGGCATCACATGAAATACCAAAGGGTACATTCAAATTAGGTAAACGCAACAATGGTAAATTATTAAATGCACTTTGTAATTGTCTCAAGGATTCACCACATTGTTCGTTTCACCATATCTTGTTTGGCATTCCCTTCTTAGTCAGATCAGACAACACAGACGTGATGGTGGCATAATGGGGAATGAATTTTGCGTAGAAACTACTCAAACCCAGCAATGCTCGAACTTGCTTTTTAGTCTTAGGGACAGGAAGGTTCAGAAACCTGTGAACAGTGGATTGAACGGGTTTTCTTACCCCTCTGCCTATGACATGACCAAGGAACGTCACTTCCTCGACTGCAACCTCTACCTTGGTTGGTCTGACTGTCAATCCAAACGACCGGATGCGCTCCAACAAGCTTCTCAACCCTTGTATATGTGCTTCGATGTCCTCATGAAACAGGAGAATGTCATCCAAATAATGAATTATATCACTACGATCACCAACCAATCTCCTCACCATCCTTGTGAAGGTGGCAGGAGCATTACAAAGCCCAAAAGTAAGAAATCGAAAGTGATACAAACCCCTGACGGTTTGGAAAGCGGTATATTTTTTTGCTTCTTCCGCCAACGGTATCTGCCAATAACCTTTTGCTAAGTCTAGTTTAGTGAAATATTTCGCATTAGTCAAAGTGTTAAACATGTCCTCCATATTTGGTATCGTTTCTGCGTCTATCCTTGTAATGCGGTTGAGGCGCCTGAAGTCGATACAGATCCTTAACGTTCCGTCCTTCTTCTTCACAGGCACTATAGGAAAAGAGTAGGCGGACGTCGATGGTTCAATCACTCCCAACCGAATCATGTCATCAATCTCCCTGTCTATTTGCGATTGATAGTGAAGGGGTACCGGATATGGCTTGAGTTTAACAGGCTGACAATCGGTTAATTCAATGGAGTGGACTGCTTTTGTGGTGACGCCCGGTATGTCAGATAAAATATCCTCGAATGAGGCCAGCATTCTCAGAATTTGACTCCGTTTCTCTCCTGGTAGTGCATAGGACACCTGTACATCCTTCCAGGACTCCTTGGGTACTAATGGTGGTAATTCCATCTTCAGTGGAACATCCGACTTGTCCTCCCCCATACATTCCTCCACCACATGGCAAAACCCAGCCTTTCTTGAGTTATTATCATGTGCATTAATCTCCTCCTCATTCACAGAGTCAATAACACCCTCCAAATTCGCTGGTCTGGTCATGTACTTCTTGATCATATTTATGTTGTAAACCTTCAGTTTTCCATTAACATTGATCAAGTAATCAACCGTGGAAATTTTCTTAACCACTGTAAATGGTCCTTTCCAGCAGTCCAACAGAAAATTTGTTTTATCCGGTAACAGGACAAGAACTTCGTCATCCGGTTCAAGTACAACCAGCTTCCGATTTCGATTAGTATAATCTCTTTGTTGTACTCCAGTTTTCTCCAGATTACTCCTCGCGATTTGACAAGCAGACATTATTCTATGTCTCAGTTCTATCACAAAATCTGCATAAGTCTGTTGTGCTTCTTGTTTTTCTTTTCCTAACCAGGCGTCCTTTAAAACAGACAATGGGCCCCTGGGGTTCGTACCATATACTAACTCGAAAGGTGAAAAACCCGTACTTGACTGTGGTACCTCGCGATAGGCAAACAATACAGCTGGAAGGTACTTGTCCCAGTCCTTAGGGAAAGCCGACGTAACTTTTGCTAACATGCTCTTCACCGTGCCATTAAAATTTTCTACAACACCATTTGCTTTCGGGTTGTACCGGGCAGCAAAGACATGGGCAATGGACAACAATTTTTCAAAAGATTTCATAGATTCAGAAATGAATTGCGACCCATGGTCCGAAAGGATAGTATCTGGGAAACCCAGACGAGAAAAAATAAGCATTAAAGACTCCGCTACAGCCTCAGATGTAATGTATCGTAAAGGGACACATTCGACCCATCTTGTAGCAAGATCTATGAAGGTAAGTATAAACCTGTTCCCTCTCTCAGACATGACCGATAATGGACCTACTATGTCTATTGCTACTTTCTCGAATGGGCGATAGGGCAAATATGTACTCTGAATTGGAGCCCTCTGTATGCACCTCTCCTAGACATCAACTGACAGTCCTTACATGATCGGCAATAGTTACGAATATCCGTAGAACACCCTGGCCAATAAAACTGAGATAAGACTCTTCTCTGCGTCTTACCGATGCCCAAATGCCCCGCAAATGGGGTATCATGTGCAGTTTTCAAAACTTCAACCCTATAGATGAGTGGTACAACAAGCTGTTTGTAGGAGTTGTTGGCTCTCTCAAAATACCTCATAAGAATGCCATTTTTTATGAAGAAGTACCACTTCCCTCCCTTACTTTTCTTATATCCAGAGTATTGTGCCTTAAGAAAATACTTCTTTAAAGTTGGGTCCGATTGCTGGCATTCCTTGAAACTACCCTGGGCCCCTGGTTTTGATGTAATGTTATGTTCTTCCGAGGTTATGGTTTCTGGAATAACCAGCTGACTTCCATCAGAAGCCTCCACAACTGCATCGGTTTTGGCGTATTCATTTTTTTGAATTTTTTGGGCTCTTGTGACCACTGCGTTTGCCACTCGTTCGTGAGCACTGTACCAATGTTTGATTTCTTCTTCAGTTGGTTCCTTTACACCCTTTACCGTTCCCAACATTATTCCCGCAGCTGGGTGTCGCAAAACGCACACCTCTGCATGACCCTTGAAAAAACAGCAATCCAAAAATGCTCGAGCCAGCGGGTAAGTCTCAATTCTCCCCCCAAAGGTTCTACATTTTACACTTCTTCCCAAATAGCCAGATTTAGGCACTAGGTATTTTGCAACCCCGATTACATTGGCGCCACTGTCCCTTAACACAGTACAACTTTTCTGACCCACATACCCTTTATGGATGGGTAACCCCCCGATCTGAAAGGTTGCTGATAAGGTGGGGTATATAACTTGGGGTCTTACTTTCACTATGTCATTGTATATTTGGGTAGATCTACCGTTGTCTCCTACCTGTGCCGCACTTGCTTTACCCTTTACTACTTTAGGGCATACACTACGTTTGTGTGGTCCTGAACACAGGAAACACTTAATATTTCTAGATCTGAAAAAACTTTTTCCCGGTGGGTTGTCATCATCCCTCCTATCCCTATACTGGCAGTCCTCAGATCTGTGTCTCCAGGACCCACAAAATTTACAGCCGGGCTGCTCATTATTAGTGAGGCCCTTCCACTGTTGCTTCCCCTGTTTGGGCCTCTGGACCGTTGTCGAATCCTTATTCCTAAAGCTCCCATGATTCTGTGTAACCGGAGAAGGTCTGACCTGAAGGCCTGCCGCTGCTGGGAAAAAATCGTCAATTTTCTCCTTATGTATCGCCTTCCCTGGATGAGCTGTGATATATTGTTCACCCAGTGTGATCATATCCTCCAAACTCCTAGGTTTTCTTTCTTGAAAAAAAGTACACAAATCATTGCTGCAGGATAATAATACATTGTCTCTCAAAATAAGATCAACCAATTTATCAAAAGATGTGCCGACCTCTGCCAAGTTCACCCACCTGAAAAAAATGGTTTTTACTTGAGCAACATACTCAGAGAAACTGACATCTGGTGTAGGCATCAGTGTATGAAACTGATTCCTATAACCTGCTTCTGTTAACAACCTAGATGCCAACAATTTCTGACGTACAACAACATACGACTTTCTCTCCTCTTCTGAGAAATTACTAAATGTTATTAGTACTTTCCCAGTCAGTAGGTCTCGCAGTCGAGACACCCATTGTGCTTCTGGGATGCGTCCACTGCGCATCGCATCTTCAAAACGGTCCAAATAAGAATGAATATCATCCTGGATACCAAGGTAAGGTAACCTTGGCTTGTAGTTGCTCAAATCATGATCACCATAATCTTTGTTACCTTCCTTTGCATCCGCCGTCTTGCTGGCCTCTGCCAGAGCTACAGCCCTATCTCTTTCGATCCGAGCTAATTCCAGCTCTTTATTAGCTGTAACTGTCATGGCTTCTACCTCTGCCATCTCCCTCCTATGGGCCCTCTCCGCAGCTCTCTCTTCCCTCATGGCGGCCTCTCTTTCAGATAGCTCTCTCATCCTAGCCTCTGCGAAGGTGACTACATGTTCTGCCTCCAGGCCTAGGTCTCTAGCCATCTGAACGAATTCGCTGAATGACATGTCAGTATTTTTACGCGGTATGACGAGATGCTATAAAATGGCACACTAATCACGCACGGAGACCTTTACAATATTCACGTAGCCTAAACTTAACTGGACGACCTAAACACACTACTTTGACGATGAATAACAGATCAAAAGACAAGAAACATAAGGCTACCAAGCATACACAATGCAGCGAACAATGCAATAAACTTATGAATCCAAAAACTAACCACAAAGTACATCACCTCATGAATATCGCATCCAAACAATGATGGTGAAGCATTTCCAATTCACACTCAGAAGCAGCTTAGCGGAAATCGATCGCTCCACTCACAGGAATACCGCAACTGTAAATATCAGCTGATCAGCGCTCTTCATTAAACACGCTTGAAACATGACACACGGCTAGCATCCATCCTTGCAAAACCATATTTGATCTCCTTCAGTGTCACTACATGTCTCACAGTTCATTGACTTTAGGTAAGTGGTTTCCTGGCTTGACCTCGAAGAAAAAGATCACAGCAAAGTCAAGTTCTCCACTGCGACGTCTCCACTTGACGGCCTTGATCTCAGTGACGCAACACGGGTTGACTTCGATGACACAGGCGATGATATCTCCTCCCAGCGACCAATTCTGTGGGCAAGACTTTGGTTCCCAATGAAGAATTCTCTAGGCCAGGTTTCAGTGCCTAATTATGAATTCTCCGGGACAGTCTTCGGCCCCCATTGACGATACTTCTGACTAAAGAACAAAACCAATGGGACAAAATGTCGTATCACACTTGTGACCAGAGGTCCCTCATTCTTTAAAGGCTTGGCTCCCCATTGACGTGGGGGCTCGTCCGGGTCTCCACATCAGGCGCGCTGCTATTAAGAAAACATGGGGCTCAAGGGGCTTGTCTTGTTTAATTGCGCAATTATTATTATTGTGTGCTGATTTGTAGACAAATAAAATAATACATTGAAATGTTTAATGTATGAACAGATGCTTAAAAAAAGGACGTTATCAGTAATTCGGGGGGGGGGGGCGCTGCAGGTCCTTAATAATTGTTAAGGGGGCACTCAGCCTCGTAAATAATTTGTGATGGCTCATAGTGCGTTAGCCCCAAGGTTCCGGCGTCTATGGCGGTCGAGGCTGATGCATATCAGTTTCACATTCGTACCAGGGCACGCCGGGGTGCAAGTTTTAAAAAAAAGGGTGGCCAGACAAGAGCAATGTGCAGGAAGCCAAAGAAGAATAAGAAACCAACCCAGGACTGGTGTCGTCAGCCGCTTCATGCAGCGGGATTTACTGAGAAGAGGATCCGAGCATATATGGTCTGAATGGTTTGATGTGCAGTGAGGGTAATCTGTCGACTAAGTCTGTGGCTCTTGCCAGGAAGTCTTTCACAATCAAAGCATGGGATTTCAAGACCAATGTTACCGTCGTGCGTTTGTAACGGCATTTTTTTTTTTTTTTTTTCAGATGCCCTACTTTTCACCTTTCACCATTCAGATTTTCGTTTTCACCATGCCCTTCCCAATTCAATCCTTAACTTAGGTTTTCCCCCAAGAACTGGGTTTTTATTTGACGCCTTGTGTTCAGATTTTAGAATCTTTTTTTTTTTTTTTTTTAATATAGGTTACTTGCGTATCCTTTACAGGATGTTGCAGAAGCAACCCCAGCAGACCCTGGCTGTTGTGTGGTTTCTCTAGGCAAATTTACGTCCTGTAGTTTGCCATTTCTTTCTAGACGGTTCGCCCCCCCCCCCTACCCCCCGATACCGCTGTCGAAACCAACGCAAGGCGCATGGCCCGCAGCTGGGATCGAACCCGGTACCCCGGCATTACGAAGCGTTCGCATCGACTTAGCCACAGAGCCGACTTTTTTAAATATATCCTTGTATAAAGTGAGCAAACGTTTCGTTTCGTAACTATAAAATATGTACTTTTTTATCATTCTTATGTGTTGGTTTTTTGTTCTTTGCTACTGTATTGCTCGTCCCCCCCCCCCCCCCCCCCCCTCTCTCTCTCTCTCTCTCTCTCTTTTCCAGCTTAGCTTGGGTTTTGGATAAAAAGAAAATCCCATTGGCAACCCTGTCATCAACATCTCCTGGGGTGGGAGCAAATCAGACATAACCAGCAACACAGCTGACATTGGCCAACACTCCCACCATCCGAAGTTTAAAATTGTGGTTTATCGACAATATCAAAATAACGCGACATAACCATAATGGCCTATGTTTTATTCCGCCGGATACGCTGATAAATTGAACTTGGTTTTCTTGGATCTGCTGCTATTGGATTCTCGTCCGAATAACGTCTCCTTGAGTCTGTGGACGTTAATCTTTCCTTATTCCATAATAGAGAGGGCGTTCGGCATGAACTTGCCGCAAAGTCCTGGCATATACACAAAGAGCTGCAGCGTTTTGATTGGTCCGTCTGCTGCTATGGCGTAACGTTTGAACGGCTGAGAATTGAGATTTTGAGATTTGAAAAAAATTTCACATTTACCGCATCCAGGTTTGTCGCCATTAGAAAAATAAGAAAACTAACCTATTTACGTTACCGTTAAAGTAAATATATGTATATTTATTAGATTTCTTTATCAATATTAAAAGTTACGGGGTGGTTTAGGATTAGGATATGTGGCGCTGACTTTAAAGGCAGCAAGACGACCATGTTTATTTGAGTGACCCTCCTCCAGTACGCGAATGTGGGAGGGAGGTTGTCAGTTTACATTCATTGTCATTTCTATCTCTTACTGTAAGTTCCATTTGATGTATTCTTGGTTGGGGGTGTATGTTAGCAATGAATGACTAGTTTGATTATGTTAGTCTAATTCAGTGCATACACAGTGTTTTAGTTTAACAAATTAAATAATATTGTTTTTTAGAACGAATCTGTATCGCACCGTGGCATCTCCAGACCAGGGATTTGACGTGTTCACAATAGTTCACATGTTGTTATCTATCTACCGGATGAAAATGAGTCAATGGGATTAGTGTGGGTCTCACTGACTAAATGAGATCTCATCATCTTATTATAAACATGGCAGTTCTGTCAGTCTCAGCTATTCCCATCCATACGCTTCATTGTTATCATTGAGTCACAGTATGATTATTGGAATATTACATTTTAAATATTTATTCGCTCAAAAAGTAAAAGTTTTCCCTTTTTTTTTGACACTTGATACTGATAAAACAGTGTTGATGAAGTTGAATCATGTTATAAATTTATTAAATGTAAAAGTATAACCAAAACAATTTAAAGTCTAAACTAAACTAGTAGGCCCTGTACTTTTGACTTAACAAGTGCTTGATGAAATTAAAAATCTGATGTTGTATATAGATTATAGAGCAATATTCAGGATGACTATAAAATGAGAATTTGGTGGGGGGAGGGGGGGGGGATTTGAATTTAGAAAATGTGTGCCTTCTTTCATAACTTGGTAGTGGGAGGTCATTGAGTTAGTGAAATAAAAGGAAAATGAATCAGACAGAAGTCATTGTGTTGTTGAATTACTATATCATGTTTTTTGTGGGGGGTGGTGGGGATTCTCTGTATTTCTATAATTTGTATAGATTGATGATGATGGCGATAATTGAATGAATATGGTAAATTGTAAAATCATAAATATCTGGATAGCTTGGCCATGTGGATAGGGCAAGGCAAGAACACTGACCTATTCTTTAATCGGGTGATTATGTGAGATGGCAAAACGTGACAGCCTACACTTAATCGGCACCAGAACATGATGATATGTTTGTCACAACTTAAAGAATGAAATCACAAACAGGTGGCATGACTTCTGTAGAGCTGATATTAAACATTAAATAATAACAGAGAAACCTGCAAAGTGAAAGATACAGTTTTGGCGAAAGACAAAACTTTTAAACTTTTATCCTTTTAGTGAGTTACCACAGCAAAGTGGGGGGGGGGGGTGCCTGTGTGCTTATTATAATGCATTGCAGGTTTTTTTTTTTTTTTTTTTATTATTTTTTCAACAATTGACTAGAATAAAACCACACACAAACAGAATAAATTAATAAAGTAAAGCATCAACAAATTTAGTTATTGTATTGAGACATGGTGCCGTCCACGTCACCCACCCAGTACGGTGGTACCAATTGGTCTTTATGATATAGTTATTGAGACATGGTGCCGTCCACGTCACCCACCCAGTACCAATTGGTCTTTATGATATAGTTATATTGAGGCATGGTGCCGTCCACATCACCCACCCAGTACCAATTGGACTTTATGATATAGTTATTGAGGCATGGTGCCGTCCACGTCACCCACCCAGTACCAATTGGACTTTATGATATAGTTATTGAGGCATGGTGCCGTCCACGTCACCCACCCAGTACCAATTGGACTTTATGATATAGTTATTGAGGCATGTTGCTGACCATGTCACCCACCCAGTACCAATTGGACTTAATGATATAGTTATTGAGACATGTTGCTGACCACGTCACCCACCCAGTACCAATTGGACTTTATAATATAGTTGTTGAGACATGGTGCCGTCCACGTCACCCACCCAGTACCAATTGGTCTTTATGATATAGTTATTGAGGCATGGTGCCGTCCACGTCACCCACCCAGTACCAATTTGTCTTTATGATATAGTTATTGAGACATGGTGCCGTCCACGTCACCCACCCAGTACCAATTGGTCTTTATGATATAGTTATATTGAGGCATGGTGCCGTCCACATCACCCACCCAGTACCAATTGGACTTTATGATATAGTTATTGAGGCATGGTGCCGTCCACGTCACCCACCCAGTACCAATTGGACTTTATGATATAGTTATTGAGGCATGGTGCCGTCCACGTCACCCACCCAGTACCAATTGGACTTTATGATATAGTTATTGAGGCATGTTGCTGACCATGTCACCCACCCAGTACCAATTGGACTTAATGATATAGTTATTAAGACATGTTGCTGACCACGTCACCCACCCAGTACCAATTGGACTTTATAATATAGTTGTTGAGACATGGTGCCGTCCACGTCACC